TTCGTTTCATCGTATGAATCGCGAAGGTCTATATAGTCGCTATAGCCCGCAATTTGAAAGTCATCTGTCTCTGGGCCAGATTACTTTCTGGGTCTAATCATCAAGCCCATCCGAGTAGTAGTCAAACTGTTTTGGCACTGGTGCATCTTGTCCACCAGGTTCATCTGGATCCACGTCTTCGTTCTTTGCTTTCGAACCACTTTCTACCGCCGCCGATTGCACTGGTTGTGTAGCCTGTGCAGGTGCCGACAACAAATGCCCTCTCAACAATTTGGTCATCTCCCTGGCCCATTCCCACGGCCGTTCTTTTCCTCCAGGCAAACTGTTGAAGTACTCCCAGCCCATGATTCCCCCAAACGATCCATATCGCCCCCGTAGCGTCGTGAGCACCATGTTGAGAGGGTTCATCGGCACATAGCCGCTTCCGTTCTCAGGGTTGGTGACAAGTCCAATGACGATCTTCTCGGGTGGCCAGCCCTTGCGGACCATGAGATCGTACATAAGGGGATTACTGCAATCCCCCCAGCCGCAGTAGAATTGTGTATTGTACCAGGCGATATCACGGCCGCGCATCACTTCGAGAGCCTCGTAGTCAAAGCCGCTGAGATTCTTGGTGAAGTCAAGAAGAGACATGGCGACTGGTGCCAGGGTGATGATGAAAGTTGGTCCAAAATCGTTGCGTAGACGGTCTATCAGCCGCACGATTCCTCCCAGGGTCATTTCCTCCTCGACATCCAGATCCAGACCGTCCAACCCACGCTCTCGAATCATGTCTTTCACAGGACCGTAGTACCGATCAAATGTCTCTTGATCGGCATCCAGGCGTGCATAGCTGCCCTTACAAGCACCACCTAGCATGCCCATCACCTTCACACCCGAGGCTTGTAGCACGCGTAACTCAGCCCACATAGTCTGGAAAATGGGGTGAGATGGGTGGTAATCATTGAGCGTGATATTTTGAGGATCATCGTTGATGTGAATGGCGGCGACAATGACGTGGGTTATGGCGATACCGGGTTGTGTGATGAGAGAGAGAGGAGAGATGAGATTCCCCGAGGAGTCATGATGAGTTTGGTAATATGTGATCAGCCGCGGTAGAGGGTTCGCGGAAGGGGGAAGAGGGGGCATCGTGTATATGTTTGTGAGGTTGAGGATGAGCTGGCATTCTTGGAGCTTGTTGAAGTTGTAAGCAACCCCAGAGCTTAGGTGGAGCTCGGCCGCTGAAGGTTTCGGTTCCAGCGGGTAGACAGCCACTAGGTAAGCTTGGCAGCTCCAGGCAGGGCCTAGTCCCTCAATGCCCGTCTACCTCTGAAGATCATGTTTCTATCCAACAAACTTGATTTAAGATTATTGCTATGAGTTAACTGACAATGGGTATCTCTTTTCTCAAATTAAAAGTCCTGGGCTCGTGCCTGTTCCTTTTCCAAATCCTGCACCCTGACCTTCTTGCCGACACATCTTCCGGGATGCCAGATAGCAAAGAGCAAGACAGCCAGTGCCACAGGAGCAAACTCCAGACAAGCAAAGAAGATCTCGTTCGAATACAAATGTCCCCCAAGTCCTTCTGCTGTCTCTGCCAGACGGAAGCAGGTTCGAAGATAAATCATAATGGTAGCCACTCCGAAAGCAACGCAGAACAAGCTGAGCTTCTTGCCGCGCGAACTAACCTCCCTTCGAGCACGGAAAAGGAATGAAGCCGTGAGGATAACGAACACACCGAGGGAGAAAACTTGGTATGCCAAACCTCCGAGAAGAATATTATTGGCGTCCGTTGGATCATCACGGTTCGACTGTCTTACACCAATCAGAGCAGCACCGGTGATCTGCACAACAGTAGCAATAACATCAGAAGTGATGAAGAACCAAAGAATAAACTTTGGTGGCAAGAACGAATATCGTCTTCCGAGCCGGGGAATTAGTGCGGAGAGGATAGTATACACGCCCGCGGCAAGGAACACAGGCGCCGTGACGATGAAGAAGTAGTTGAGGATAAAGTACAGCAGATGGTACGGATCCTTCTTGGCTGAGAGCGAGCGAGCAACATAGCCCACGATCTCAAAGAGAAGACCAATCGGGAATGTGATGAAGTACCAGCTGCGAAAGCGGATTGTCTGAACCAGGTGAACAACGAGGAAGAGGGCGAACCAGGCTGCTGCGAAAACGGCGAGAGAGAATGCGGGTGTGTAACCATAAATGATTACAGGCGTATCCCATTCGCCGTCAGGGTTGGGAAAGTTTGGGTCGACATAGCCATCAATTGGGCGTTCTCCTAAGTCTTGTCAGTATTTAGGTATCTCATGTCCAGTGCAATTGTGAACATACCAGAGCTGCTCATGGTAAAGATGAGTGAAAATTCAAAGCTAATACTTGATAATCACGAAATAGTCAAATGCAACACAACATTCTTCAGCGGTTGACGTTGGATCTTTAAATCCTACGGCAGGACCCTTCGCATTCAGCTTTTGATATAAGCTTCTTTAGTGTATGGAGAGCCGAGCGCCAAACCCCTGGTCCTGGTGCAAAGTCATGAATCATCATTCTGAAGCTATTCCCCAGAATGGAAATGGTGACCCTGGGCCACGCACCCGTCAAAGTCCCCAAGGGTCTCAATAATCGTTTATATTTGGCGAAAAACGGTCCCTGACGATTTGGTTTCCTTTTTGAGAAAGGGGACCTGTCTAGAAGACTCTATACTGTGGGAATGAAAGACGCATGTCTTGGACAGTGACATTCAGAGGGAAAGCCACTTGACAGAAACGAGATGACAATTTACGAGTAAACTGGCAGCTTTTACAGCGAATTGCTCGAAGTTTTGGTTTGATTAAGGGAGAGATATAAAGTCTGCGGCCTACTCGATGAATATTTCCTAAAAAGTAAATACCTTGCAATGTTGAAGGGTCCTCCAGATTTGCTGAACCTCGAGGGAGCTTCACCTGAAAAGCCTAGTAGCCTTTTGCACAGACACTCAGAAATTAATCAACCGTTGCCAATTCTTGGCATTGTGTCATTGGCATTAGACCCATAGCTGTCAAAGGCTGGGCTACTTAAGCGACCATTGCCGAAAAGACGAATCACAAGCATTCCTTTAGATGACAACCTCAACTTTGAGGATGCTGAACAATGCTTTCTAATTGTGGGTTAAAGACCCTCTATCAACCGAGATCTGAGTTGAGTCTAATCTTCCATGTATCTATCGCGAATGGTACGCCAGTCTATGACCCTTTGACCAAATCATCACCCATGACCTCTTCAAAGATACCCTTTCTAATCTTCTGCAACTCCGTCCGGGCTTCATCCATCTCTTCACCCTTCCTCTTGAGCTCTTTACTCAAGTAATACTTCCTCTCTTTCGCCTGACTCAAGCAGTTGTTCAAAGCCGCTGTGCACCGCGCTACCTCCTGTCTCCCACCAGTGATATCTACCTTTCCCCAGACATCGCCCAGGTTAGATGTGACCTCCATAGTGCGGGGATTGGCCTCGGGCGGCAGCTCAATCACATCCGCACCAAGCTGTACTAGCTGATCAACTGTTGTCTTACTCTGCTGAACAAGTTCCCTGCCCTTATTCAGAGCCCGGAGATGATTCATGTCTCCCGATTGCAGAGCCTTGTCGACCTGTTGCAGTCCAGCTGTCATTGTCGCTGTCGCTTGCTCGAGCAGATCTAGCGCTTTTTCATGTAGTTCGAGGGCTGTCTTTGTAGCAACGTAGACAGATAATGCATCATTGCTCTGCTGTTCCTTTCCATCCTCTTCGGGGAATTCTGGCGTTGGGCCTGAAAAGATATCATCGTAGATATCGTCCAGCTGCTTTTGCAGATCTAGGTAACCCTGCATGCTCTGGTTGAGATCTTTCTTTTTCCGAAGTTCTTCATCCAGTCTAGCCTTGACACTCGAGTTGTACTCTGATGCCAGATGCGCCTGTTGAAGCGTGTTGTGGTAATTCTGCTCCTCCCTCTCAGCCTGACCTGTAAATGAGTTCTCTTTACCGCTGGCTATGTAAAGAAATTTCATTACATGGCCATCGCGGTATTTCTTATGCGACTCAAGGTCAGCTAAACGTTTGCGATCTAATCCATCCAGTTCTCGGTTAGACTCTGATAATTGTGACTCGAGGTCTGAAACGATCTTTTGTTGTAGAGCAAGATCCGTGCGAATATGTTTCGTTTGTTCTAGCAAGCTTAATAGCTCCGCCGTCCTTGGATAGGCTGCTTTTATTGCGTCTTTGATGTCCGGCATTTGGCTATGAGAGTTGAATGGAGGTGGTAGGTTCGGTCCCATCACTGCAGCCATGATTGAGTTGGAGAAGGCTTTTTGAAACGTGAATGCACTCTAAGGTTGAGACTCATCAGATGATATGAAATCAGATGATGCCTAAATGAACCAGCAAGGCGTTTGTAGCGGCAGGGCACGAGATGCACTGGAGATACAAGCTCAAAGTATAAAAGTTTGCTTGGAACCAAGTTACTTATATTTTGCCTCGAAGAAGATAATTACAATAACCGCCTCAAGCAGAGGAAATAAGCCTTCATAAACCGCGCAGAATTAGGCAAGGCATGAGTCGAACGCTGCAGGAGGATGCAGAACTGTGAAGCCTGTTCGCCTCAGATTATTACTGCAACCAATCATATTGTATCTTCTAGAAAAAAAGACAAGCAATAGAATTTTCGGGTCGCCTTATGCAGCAAGAGAGCCAGCGATCAAAGCCAGGGATTATTCCATGCAGCTCTTTCATCTGCGGCATGACATCAGTGTACGACTATCGGGCGATTTAGGATGAACCAGGGTATTGCATTCATGCCAACGCTACACGGCTCTGAGGAGTTTTTTCCGGACGACAGCCCTAAATCTCCTAAGCTGTTCTAGACTACTATTTTGTTCCTCTTTCAATGCAGTCATGATATGATAATCTCCATTATCGGGGTATAATATGCGGTAATAGCAGCTCTCGGATGAAACTGGAGCGGTAAGATGAAATGTGTTTTGCGATCGTTATGTTGGACATTATGTGAAATAAATGTTGTTCTCGCGGAACGCCAAAAGAAGCCGTAAGAAGTCGTTTTCGTCACACTTGGCTGATCGTGCTTCAGAGAGTTCAGTCTTCTCAAGGACATGCTCAATCTTGCTCCGAATGAAGCTCTTGAGAGTGGCCTTGCTAACGGGAATTCCACACACAGACTGGTGAGCGTCTATTGTATCTTCGCTGTCACGGAAGAACTGCAAATCTTGCTCGCTGACTTTCTCGGGATCCATAGCCGCCCAAGTGATCCAATTTCGCTGGCAGAGCTCCTCTGAATCGATGAAGCTCGCTCGTAGAGTCTTGTTTTTCCTTGAGAAACAGATACGTAGCATGCCGTCCAGCTCCTGTATGTTGGCGGCAGGCACTTCTGGTCGTGGCTCAAGTCTCACGACAACGGATTCGACTTCGGGTGGCGGCGAGAAGTTGTTCTTGCCGACCTTGGCAATCAGGGCGACTTTGGAGGTGAATTGTGTGTTGACTGAAAGGCGAGAGTATAAGGAATCGCCAGGTCGAGCGCATAACCGTAGTCCAAATTCTCGCTGGACCATAAGAATGCTGACGCGAGGAGGCCGAGGGAGAGAAATCAGCTTGGAGATAATGATGGACGAAATCTGGTACGGGGTATTGCTAATGCAAACGTCGAATGGTGGGAGTGCTTCCGGAAGATCCAATTTGGCGAAATCGCCCATGATAATTTCCAACTTTTGCTGCTCGGGCTTGCCTTGGACTCTTTTTGTTAACTCGGCTCCCATGCGAATGTCGAGCTCTACGGCCTTGACCGCTTTAGCTTGTTCTAGAATGCGTGTCGTGAGGACGCCGGTTCCAGGACCGATCTCGAGGACGGTGTCGGTGGGTTTGAGGTTTGCCTTTGCGACAATCATATCGGCGATGCCAGGGTTCTTCAAGATGTGCTGGCCAATATTTGTGTTGTACTTGAAAATGTTCTTGCGTTCAGGCTTATCGTATGGCCCCTTGCGGGCACCACCGCGCCTGCTATCTGACGATTTCGGCATTGTGTTCTTGACTGCGAGTGAGACGGCAGGGTTTTCCTCTTTTTTTTTTCTGGTGGTGTACTGAAGCATCTCGTAGGGTGGGGCACCCCGCGATTATCTTTTTAGTGGGCCATGCGGAATAACCGCTACTCCGTATCCTTGATGCACATGGAGTTACCATCTCTACAAGATAGCATATCGCCTTGTCTATGTCGAAGAAACAAAGCATTGCTAGAATGTATTTGACTTACATCCTGGAATTCAATCTAGGTGTATGGCAAGGACCTAAGTTCTGCCTCTAATCACCTGTTTGGTATTACACATGTTTGACATGAACCTTTGTCACGAACTCCGTGCTAGAGCACAGTCATTGTCGCTACAATTGGAGACAATCTATATCCTGTCCTCAAGGAGCAAGAAAACACTGGAACTTAACGTAAGGTGTCAAAATAAACTTAGCAAAAGGGATCCTAAGTTTAGGCTCAATTTATGCTAACTTACCTAAGTCTTTTTATCATTTAGGGTCAAGGTCCTGAGTTTTCTTTCCTCCCCTAGCCTGTTACGTTTGGCTAGCCGCCATAAACAATCAAAATAATATGTGATCGACAGTGGCCTTCCTAGCTTGTAAGGCTGTTGCTCGTCGGTAGGTCTTTGAGTCAAGATGCCTGTGACGACTTTTCCGTGATTTGCCGACCCTTTGCCGCCAACGGAGCTTCCCTGCTTTAGTAGCTCCATCTTCAAACCTATAGTGCAACTTGTAGTATGAGGTAGAACCTCCCATCGCCAATCATTTCTCAAAGGAAATGGCTTCACCGAGAGCCCGTCTGCCTCGTGCAGGCAAACTCGGGGTTTTGATACCGAGATCGAAGCCTCACGGTATCTCGATATGTCCATTTTGCTGCATTACATCACGGCCGCGAATACGACCTCGTCGCGCTATCCTCGGAAAACGTTTATACACTGTGTCGACGAATCCTCGTGCCGAGCTTGAACAACACCTCCTCGATATTCAGAAACTCGCACCGTCTTTGGTGAATCTTTCAAGATTGCAATTGGCACTGCAGGGACTGCGGCAAATACCTGGCCAGGAAGCTGTGAGGGTTGCGATATTAGGACTGGCACCTGGCTCGAATGCGGGACAGACTGCGAAAAATGTTCTGAGGGTTTTGGTAACGGATCCGCTGCAGGATGAGCAAGAATGGGAGCGCCAATTGAAGGGCCATGATCCAAAGAACCCCCTCGTTGTTCGGATCCGGTCCGCTGCAGAGCAGCAGAGTACTTTAACAGTCACCAGAACGGGTCTTTTGAGTGAGGTCAATGTTTCCTCGGCGGAATGGAACAGCCTCAACTTGGAGCTACTGTTAATGGACACGCATCTTCCCGAGTTCTCTAGAGATGAGAAAACACGGGCTATCGAGGTCGAAGAAGCTGTTCTGGTGCCCAAGGTCGGCATTCCATCGGCTGAAGATCGAGTGACACCAGTTACTACACCTGTGCACAGAGCGATTCTTGTCGGTGATGGGTTTGAAGGAGCTGTCAATGTCACATCGGTGCCGGTTGCCAAGGAGGAGTCTGTGCTAAAAGTGGTTGATTTGAGAGGCGTTGACTCAAAGCAGCTTGATGCATCCTTTACGCTTGTTGATACATCACTTGCTGAGAGGGGAGTGTCACTCTTTCGTCAAAGTTCCAGCAATGCCATTGAGTATGAGCGGCTTTGGTTCAACAGTAACTTCCCTGCCTTAACAACGTGGCTTAAGTCAGGAATCAGCTCCTCCGATGGCACCACGAAACCCGCAGTGCGAGGGCTCATTACTTCTTTGTTGAACAACATTTTGGCGCGATGCGAAGAAGAGAATCGTTGCGAAATCAGGGAGACTTACCGGACTGCTCCCACTCTCAACGGTCAGGAGCCAGACTTCTCCCCTATACTGATCCAAGCAGCTGGTGCGTGGTCACAGCAAGCTCATGCAGAGTTACAAGACGAGCTTGACTTGGCGTTCACAGGCCGAAGATGGCGAAAGCTAGGATGGTGGCAACTATTCTGGAGGGTCGATGATGTTGCCATGCTCACAAATGATATGCTCAACCAGCGGTTCCTACCAACAGCAGAGCGAGAGCTTGTTTATCTTACCGGGAAGATCGCACAAGCTGCAAATGCGGACCAAAACTATCCTCAACCACACTCCGTGAACGATAGCGACACACATTTGGAGCTGAAGCGACTTGGCCCAGGAGAGGTGGAACCACTGGCACCAGTGAACAACCGACTAGCACTACCAAAATGGCCTGGTCATATTGCCTTTACCCGAAGGTATCTCCAAAACGAGACTGTCCCTGCGCTGCAGGCTCTCGCACAACGCTTGGTCGTGCAGTCGTTAGGGACTTCTGGACTTACAACATCCCTCGCCGCTCTTCTCTATATCTCCTCCTTCTCCTCGACAGTCTACGAAGCCGGTGCTGTGGCAGCACTCGGTATAGTCTGGAGTTGCAGCCGGTTACAGAAGAAATGGGATGCAGCGCGAGCATTCTGGGAGGGCGAAGTGCGAGAGGAAGGCCGTAAGGCTCTCCGGGGCGTTGAGGACAGTGTTGCAGAGGTTCTCAGCCACGAGAAGCAACAGGAAAAGCCGGTCGTAGACCAAAAAGGTAATGAGATTAACGAGGTTCGCGAGCTGGTGGCCAAGGCCCAGGAAGCTCTTGGCCGAATGAAATAAAAGGGGAACCTGTACAATATGGACTGAAAAGCATTGGACTTAGAAGGTGACGAGATACCAGGCGTAAGAGACGCCTTCATTTTTGTAATCTAGTCAATCTCAAAAAACCACCCTCTACTGCGAGGTATTGTAAGCCTCACAAGGCATATCCCCATCTAGACTGGTATCAACCTAAGCCTGTTCCACTCATTTTCCCAAAATCGAGGCATGCCCATTGTAAAAATCCAAGCCCGAACGCCAAAAACTCGCATATTTCTATTATGTCTTGTTTATCGTCCTCCTCGTCCGCCTGCGCGCGCTCGGCTGACCGTCGCGCGACCTCTGGCAAGACCGACACCACGGCCACGTACGTTACGGCTGCGGAACATAGGGGCGTTGCGAAGCATGTCGGGAACGATGAAGAAGCGCACGTGTGAGCCACGGATGTAAACTTGGTCGAGATGGGAAACGCGGCCGTCGCGAGCGGTGACGGTAATGTCCTTCAGCTGAACGTTCATGTTGTCCTCAGCTGTGATGTGTTAGTGGAAATCCAAGCATTAAAAAACAGTTGAAAAGAAAGGATAGAGAGACAGGTGCGTACCATCGAGAAGCTTGCCACGGTAGGTCTGACCGGAAGTGATTTCGAGGGTCACAATGTGGCCCTGCAAGGCAAAGTTAGCTTCGTAGCTCAATCAGGGGTGCCATAAAAAGGGATACGGACCTGCGCCTCATTCAGGAGCTTAATAGGGATACCGATTGTAGAAGTCATGGTTGCGGTTAGGTGTAATTTTCGTGTTGTCGCGTGTACACAAGGCCGAGGCTGAGCTGGAGCTTGGTATATCGTGAAAATTGGCGAGGCTTGGTGGTGAGGGACGTTGGAGAGGTGGAGAAGAGTTGATCCGAGCCCGCGAGAGTTTGGCTTGACACTGTGTGCAGTACGCACGCAGGCCATGAAAAGCACAGTGTCTGTATTTCACAGTTTCTGAGAGATTGTATGCTTCATCTGTACAATTGAGATTCGATATCGTATACTGCAACATACTATGCCCCTAATTAACGCCATAAACCTGAAATGCCGTCCAGATAACATAAGAATGCCATATGGGATTATAGAGTGTCTAACCACTTGTTCACTTTCGCCTTATTGCTGACTTGCTTTCTCTTATCCACATCCAACTTCTTTCCATGCTTCTTCTTCTCCTTCTGTTTCTTCGATGTAGTTGATTTCCGCTTTAGTGCATTGGAGTTCGAAATCACCACGACAGTTTCTGTAGCGTCTGCTTCTGGTTGCAGCGCTCCACTCATCAGCATGCTATCCTCGGTTGTCTTTGCTGAAACGACAAGTTGATCATTTTGCTGGCCATACACTTCTTGTCTAGAGACCGGAGGATCACTGGCTGTTGGTGTTGTCACGGTAGAGCAAGTTGATAGCTCTGGAGCTTGACTGGTCCCTTGACTGGTCCCTTCATTGACACCCATGGATTGGTAATGGATGTATCCACCTTGAACATTCGGCACAATCGAATTTCTCCCAGTTGGCGGTATTGATGAGATGTCCTCGAATGAGATATATCGAGCTCGGTAGTAGTACAGTCCTGAGTTGTGGAGAGTCCATTCCGACCACCGAGATCGCGCGGGCGATGGCTCAATGGTCTTCGATGCAGGTGTTGAAGGTTGGGGCTCATGCGCAGTGTGTCTTTTGTTCACCATATTCGTGATGCGACGGTCGCTTAGCACTCCAGAACGGAAATAAGTGCACGAGAACACGGGTTCGTTGAACAGATATAATCCAGGGATATCCCTCCGAGCAAAGAGCAGCTGTGGCGGCTCGCAAACTCGAGGTTCGCAGATAATTCTAACGCATTTCCTCACCCGACAGCCTCACTCTTCTCGCTGGGTGCCGAAAGGAAGCCTGCATGCAGGAGACACACAAAAGGCGACCTCTCGTGTTTCCAGGAACCCGTGGGTCGTCGAAGCATGGTGAATGGGTCCCTGATTGGGTAAGAGATGAGCAGATTATCCATATAGTTGGCTGAGAATCGTAAAGGCGTGTTTTGTGAAAGCTATGAGCGTTGGACAGGTGTCACTGCATCTGCCAATTGAACAGCTGCACTTTGACTAATCCTGCGAGGTACCTGATCTGGCAAGTCGAGCATGGATGGCCTCAGTCAAGTCTGCCTTGTCAGCTGCCTGTCGCGTGCATCGGAATTTCGAACCAGCATGGACGCATGAAGTAAGAATATCGTCCTTGCGAATCGGAGTTTTGTAATTGAGGTAATGAACATCACGATGATAACAATCACAATGCTGATTGAAGGCACAGCCATCGATTGAGCTGCAGCAGACTGGTTTGGAGAAATTGATATGTTGAACTCACGACCGCTTATCAGCGATTCTCTTATTATTGCTTCTCTGCAGTCTCCTCGACCACTCCCTCTTTCTGGGTATCATTCTCCTGCTTCTGCTTCTTCTTTGCTGCCAGCTTCTCCCTTGTTTGCTGCTTGCGAGCCTGCCTGTTGAGGCTCCCAATCACTCCACCCTCTTTTCCGCATGGCCACTTCGCCTCAGCTGCTGCTTCGTCTTCCTCGGTCCACTCTCGAGGCAGCACAGCGAAGGTGAGATATGACGTGTGAGTCTTGAGATCGTTTTCAGGTCTATGGTAGAGATTGCCATGCATCCATGGTTTGCTATCTTCAGCAGCCTTTCCATTGGTGTCGGTCTTGGGTGAATCTGAGGCAGGGGTATCTATATCCATTGCTGATGAATCGCCGTCGCCGTTTGCTGACTTGAAATGCACCTTGTGGAATTCTTTCGTCTTTCGATTAATCTCCTTGAGCCTTTGCATTGCCTCCTTCACATTGGCTGGTGTTTGGACATTGCCCCTTTCCGCAGGCAGGTTTGCTCCGACTCGCTCACGAATAGTGTTGATCCGCCGAGCCGAGATTTCTACCATGTCAATGTCCTTCCAGCCAAGAAGCCGGAGCTCCTCAATTGTTCTTGTGACCTGCTCAATACAAGGGGAGAAGGTACAGATATGGACACTTCGTTTGGGGTCCAGAGGTGAGACCCATTCGGGGGTGTTAGCACACTCGCTTTCCTTCCTTAGCTTATCGGGCTTCTGTCTTGAAAGGTGATGGAGCGCTTCCCAAGGCGCAGGGAGATCAAGAAAGACTGATGTTGCTTGGGGAGACTTTCCATCCACATTGAATCCTTCTCCATACACATCACGATGTGTCAATTGTACGACACCATCCAGCTTATGCTCGTGGATTTCTTCTTGCATCTTATTATATCGAGGCTCGTGGTATTCAAAACTGAAAACCTTTCCCTTCTTATCGTTCTCGTCCCTAGGGTAGCCATTGTAGACAGCACGTGCAGAGGCATGTGTAAAGCTTCCACTGCCGGCTCCAGCTTCAATGATTCGAGTACCGGGAACTGCTCGTATTCTTTGAAGGATGTAGCTATAATCGGGAGTATACACGACTTGAGTTCGATGAGGCAGACTGCTTGTCCAGAGCTCAGGAGTCGGTCTGAGGATATGGATAAAGCCACTTGCAGCTGCGACAGCCTTTTTGGCTGGCTTAGAAGTCACATCTGCGACATCATCGTCTGGGCCAGTCGTTGTCGGCGTGTCATCATCCGTCGCCTCGCGACGGCGCTTTCGCCCTCTTGAGCCAGTGTCGACATTTGATGCACGGACTTGGGAACCCCAAGGAATGCCAAGAAGTGTCGAGTGAGGAAAAGATCCGAATCGCGTGTTTAAAGTTGCACCTTCGAGGTATCCATCGACTGCGCCAGTCGACTGTTCCAGTGTAATAGGCTGAAGGTTATCTCTGGAGAGAAGAACAATTGCCAAGTCGCCAGTGGAAGTTGTAGTTCCTGGCTCCAGGAAAGGAGATGGTTGAGCCATTGATGCGTCTGCACGCACAGGCGTGTCTTAAAGAAATTGAGTTGGTATAAGATGGGTAAAGATTAGACTAGATTTGCAAAGACGAGGCAGAAAAATATTTCCAGGATACGCGCGAGGCTGAACAATTAGCGTTGTCTCCACTGAAAGCTTTAGTGAGGGGCACTCAATGTGACACTAAAACTGATCATGGACCAGGCTATTGGCCAAACCTCACGGGGACACCCAGCTGCTGGTCGCCTGTAGCTCCCTTGTAGCTCAGAGCTGGTCTCGGGTGACTCGAAAAGTGATCGATGGCGTCTTTCTCTCCCTTTGACTCGACTGTGACTCAGGCCTCTCGTAGTAGACATTTGTCTTTTTCAAAGGTACATACGTTGCCTTGAATATACACCTACTTTTTCCTTCTTACTATACCCTCCCTCTCCTCTCCTTTTCTCGTGTTTCCCACCTTTTGGCGTCTGTATGAATCTCTTTCGGCAACGTCTTATTCGATCTAAAATCCCCACTCCGTTCTCAACGCCCCGACTGCGACCCCTCCATCGATTGTATTCGTCTCTATCCAGCTCCAACACGAGCACCATGGAGTCGCTAAAGCTCTATAACTCGCTCAAGCCTGGCGCTCCGGTGCCTTTTGTTCCCATTGAGAAGGGCAAAGTTACCTGGTATGCTTGCGGTCCTACTGTGTACGACAAGAGCCATTTGGGCCATGCTCGCAACTATGTCTCTACAGACATCATTCGTCGCATTCTGATGCATTACTTTGGCTTTGATGTCAAATTTGTCATGAATATTACCGACATCGACGATAAGGTATGAAGAAGAGCTCGCTAGATATCATGCGACTTGTCTAAACCTCTACAGATCATCATCAAGGCACGACGACAACGATTGCTCGAGCTCGAGAAGAAGAAGAACTACACGAAGGACGAACTTCAAGATCTGGCCCTGGCCGCTTTCCGGGCATATGCTAAGAGCAGCCTGCCTCTGCTTCTGAAGGACGGAGAGGACATCGATGCGACCAACTACGCTCAGCGCAGAGAGGCGGGATATGGACACGTGCTTGCAGGAGGCACCATTTCTGGTGAGGGAAAGCCTGGCGACGATGAGGCCAAGG